TTTTTTTTTTTTTTTTTCATTTTGAACGATAATGGATAAGTCAGAAATGCAACCGGATACGAGAGAAGTTTCTTGACGGAGACGTGACGACGATATACTGAGAAAAGAGAATGGCGATAGCAATAGACGAAGATAACAATTTCCGTAGAGCTGTTCATTATAATGAGATATTTAATTTTAACATGGCGTGTTGATTTCAAAGAATTGATAGATTCAAAGAACCAAAAGTTTCATTAAATGAAGCTCGTTAAGTTTAAAGGATTGTTAAATCATTTTTCCCTACACTTTATAAGAAATAACGCCACGTGGTAAATTTGCTCGAATAAATCAAAAAATAAAAAGTTTCGATTCATTGGAAAAAAAATCATTTTAGAACCGATTATACGATAAAAAATAACATTAATAACACGCTGTACATAATTGCCTCGTAGATTTTATTACAGAAGCCCGTTTAAACTTTAATCCTTTAAAAAGTTAAGTCGCGAGCGTCCTTTCGTCCAAACGAATAAACGTTTTTTGCATTCATTGGTGAGAACAACTGTCAGTCAATTTTTTCAAAATTCGGCAAAGTGTGATATTCGATATTCATATATGGGTGAAGAAACTGCTGACTATGCGATCCCTACGAGCTTTTTCAATCCCATGGATACCCCTCCCTTTCTTTCTTATTCTGTCGTTCTCACTGGTATGAAATATCTTCACGGATCGTCAGTTCGATTTTTCATGGAAATATTACCCCCATGCTCTTGCGTCGTTGCCTTTCTAAAACTTTTCTATTCGATCTTTTTCGAAGTTCGTGGATTTTTTAGAATACATAGTATTTCTAAGAGTACATAGTAATCTTAAGAATACATATATAGTATACCGAAATATTCTTCAACAAATGAAAAGATAGAATTGCAAAGATAGATAAAAGGAAGTAAGATATTTAATAGATTGAATGTTGAATCTTGACTCATATCAATTATAGAATCAAGTTTCAACAACATTATTTAGAGTAGAACAGGTTCTAAAAGGTTTCACTAAGCAGAAATTCTTCAGGAAAAGAGAACCATGTAAACAAACGACAGTTTAAAATTGAACAATTTATGTCCCTGCCGTCTCTGAGCTCAAGCAGACAGAGTGCAAGAGGTAAACGCTATTGTAGAATCATTCGTGCGTTAAAAGATATAACGACATAGAGAATAAAAGGCACAATACTCGCAGGAATCTAACCGATGATAATACTTAGCTACTCACCCTTGAACTGCCTCCTTCCTCGCTGGTAACTGATTCCTTTGGGTCTCGATATCCGTTGAAATCAGGATTCATCTCGGTGATAATCAAGGAATTCCACGCAGGAAAACTTCTATCACCGTTCATAACACTTGGAAATTTCAGTTAAATTCCAAAAAATTGCACCAAACGTCGATCGATTAATTCTGAAATGTTTTAAACATAAATAATTAGATGATTTTATGATAATTGATAGATGTATTTATTAATTATAAAAATGATTTAGAAATCTTGCTTAACTATTTAATTTATTTAGAATGATTTATATAAAGCATGTAAGATGATAATCTCTTCAAAGTTCAATTTATAAATAAGCTAATTATTAATGAAATATTTAAATATTTAAATATATCTTTTTAAAAAGTGTACCATAAGAGAATGTAGAAGAAGAAGATAGGCATTTTATAAGCAACGTATATATATTCTATGTGAATATAATGAGACTAAAAGTTGAAAGTAATTGCAAGAATACTCTGTAAGACATGAATAATTGGCATATACGGAATGACATTTCAGGAAGTTGCTACTTCCTTATCAATGAAACAAATCATTTGCGTGGGAGGTTCGTCCTCCCAAGTTATCTATTTTTTTTTTTTTTTTTTTTTATTCCTAACCAACTGTCGATATTCTCAAAACCATCATTGTTAATAATCATTGAAGATATTTTTTGAATCTGTTTCATGGACATTTCTAAATCTACAAATAAAATCGATATGAAATACTATACCAAAGAGAAAATTACTAGCCGTTCGAAATGGTTTTCAAATTATTCTTGCAATTCATATATATTTGTTCTTTTATCTATTCACTTTTCCCTTTTAACAAACGTTTTATAAAACAACTACATAGTTATTTAAATCTATAATTTAAATAGATACTCGAAATCTGTTAAAAATAATAAAGTGAAAGATACTTATCACTTCCATAAAAATTCAAATGAAATTAACCTATTTCAATGCGCAGAAATTTATTCTTAGTACACTAATTGCACAGTAATAAGGAAGAGTCTACTTTTTCTTAATTTTCATGAAAATATCTTAAACGTGTAAATCACTCTTAAAATATAAAAATACGTACGTAAGTCACTTTTTACATTCTTTTCTGAAAGATCCTCTACATGTTCTTTGTTATATTGATATAATATGAATAAAAATTCCAATAAATAAACGCTACTTCAAAGTGGACGAGTCCATTTTTAACACATCAGTTGATATAGGAGTGAAAATAACGTGGAAAGTTCCACTTACAAGTTTTCAAAGAAATACGCAAGATATGATCGAAATGTATACTTTATATTAAAGAATTCGGTTCTTATGCTTACCAAGAGTCCTGTTGAAGTTTCTTATTCACAATTTTATGAAAAATATCAGTTTTTTAATAAATAAATATAGAGCGCGTTACGCCTGCATACGAGCTGTTTCCCGCCTGATTTAACCGGAAGCCATCTAGCGGAGGAATAAAAAAACTGACCAAAGAAACATCGCTCTGATTGGTCGAATTTGAACTACAGGAAAAGTGGTTGTTACGTCCTCAACGTACAACATCAACGGCTGTGTGGCGCGATGCTACGTGTGTTGATCAAAGAAATAATTCTTAGTTTAGGAAGAATTGATAATAGAAATGCATTACAAACGTGTTACTCAAGTTCGAGTGAATTAATGTTTGTAACGATACAAGTGTTGTAAAATTCAAATAGTTGATAGGAAATCATCGTGAATCCATTTGTGTGGTTTGTATACATGACAAGATACATATTTCTAAAAAGTTCTACGTCAATTTGAAGATGACTACATCGTTATCGTTACTGGCGAGCCACGATGAAGTGGTTCGATGTATGAATGTACATTTGAACGGAGCTTGCGAAGAAGGTTCGAATTTTACATATTTATTCAATGTCTTACTCTATTACAAGCAAATATTTTGAAAAAGTACATATGTCTAGGCTGTAGTACATTTTCTGTGCTCCACATTTCTTTTGACATTTCTTGCATTCTCTTGTGCAATAATTTAATAATAAAAGTATACCTATAAATGTATATAATACAAATTGTTGCTTCATTTCTTTAATATAATTTTATGTTAGTTTAATATATCATTTACATATGTGTGTAACTATTTTAATCCTAGCATTAAATAAATTATTCTTATAGAATTTTTAAAATTTGCTATAAATCAAGAGGAAATGAGACAGAAATGGTTAGCATCTGTACAAGAGTGTCAACGTCTTCATTCAGCTTTAGAAAAAGCTCATCAAGAAGCAGCTGATTTAGATAGAAAATTAAGTCATGCTAGAAGACTTCTAGATGAAGAGAAAAGAAGGAGACGCGCTGTTGAAGAACAAAGGAATTCGTTGGTAAATGTATTTTTGTGACCAAATATGTGACAATGTATTTTTCTTACTTGTATGCTTGTAGGAAAGACAAATTGCTTTAGCTAGAGATCTTTTATTTAATGACGGAGGAAGAAATTTAAATGATGAAACCCGTGAAAAATTACAATTTTTAAATAATACTACGTTAAATGGCCGTCATAGTAAAATACATGTTAAGGATGTACATCAAAATGACAAGTGAGTTTCTGATTATAAAGAATGATATTTAAAAAAACACTAATTAATTTATTATTACTTTATTATTACTTTCAGATTGAATACTATAGCGGAGCTGGACTCCACTGGCTCTATTTTAAGTGACTTAAGTTGCTTTTCAAAGTCAGAAGACGATTTAGATATTAGTGCAATGATTCAACAAAATCAAAAGAAACGCGAATGGAAAGAACACAGACCAAGTGGTGAATATTCCACAAAGAAGCGACGTAGTACAGTACGAAAATCTGCGGAATTAAATTCATCTGATAGAATAGTAGCTACAACTACGGTAACAATGCCAAAGGATGGCAATATCACTGCATCTTCTGTAATCGAAGCTATACCAGGGGATGAGAATGTAGATCCACGAGGACCTTTACATAATTCGCATAAAAGACGGAAAAGTGGCGATCGTAGTAAATCAAAGTTAGCTTCTGTTGATATAAATGAAATTCAAATTGATACTGCTGTAAGTTATTTTGTTTAAATTAGATACTTTTCATATTTCTGTGATTTCAATTAAATTAAAAAAGTTGAAATTCTACTGTAGCCTTCTGCACCAAAAATAGAAGCTCTCACATCAGGATCAGATTCGGAGGGTGTTTTTAAACCTAGCCCAAACATAGGTGGATATACTTTAAACGCAAAATCAGCTAGAGGACATAGCTTTATAGCAAAAACTGTAATTAAACCAGAAGTTTGTACACCATGTGACAAGAGGTAATATATTTTGAAAGTTTTATTTGATATTGTAGACATACATGAAATTAACATTTCAGAATTCGATTTGGAAAAGTAGCTTTGAAATGTAAAGACTGTAGAGCTACAGCTCATACGGAGTGTAAAGACTTGGTTCCATTACCATGTATACCTACTGGAAATACGCCTACATTACGTGGAACATCAGTAAGTGCTCGAAATCTGCAATATCTACAATAAAAACTTATGACAATCTATTTTTAGGGGACAATAGCAGATTATACACCCATGATTCCACCAATGGTACCATCATTAGTTGTTCATTGTATCAATGAAATAGAATTGAGAGGAATGAGCGAACAGGGATTGTACAGAGTAAATGGTGGTTTAACAGAGGTGAAATGTTTAAAAGAGAAATTCCTTAAAGGCAAAGGTGCTCCCAATCTGTCTGATGTTGATATACCTACCATATGTTCTACCCTTAAAGATTTCCTTAGGTACGTCGATTAAAATAGTTTGTTTAACAGAAGCGAAATAATTTATTTAATTTCTTCCGTATTTCTAGATCGTTGCGAGAGCCGTTAATCACTGTTGGATTATGGGCTGACTTCGTTCGCGCAACTAATATTACTGATAAACAAGATGCAGATGCTGCTTTATACCAAGCAATTTCAGAATTACCTCAACCTAACAGAGATACACTTGCCTTTCTAATTTTGCATTTACAAAGAGTATCAGGTAGTCCAGAATGTAAAATGCCAATAAGTAATTTAGCTAAAGTTTTTGGACCTACTTTGGTGGGTTATAGTTGCCAGAAACCATCACCCACTTCTCTTCTTTCTGAGACAAGTAATCAAGTTGCTGTAAGTATGTTATAAATAAAAAATTAACAAGACTAAATAATATTTACTTGATCTTAATTTTTCTTTTTATAGATAGTGGAAAGTTTGTTAAAAATTCCATCAGATTATTGGGCAAATTTCGTTAATCCTGAAAATCTAAATAATATTGGTACTCATAAAACCAGAGAATTACAACATACACCATCTCAAGAATCTTTACTTAAACGTAGTATTTCCCGTGGCTTCTTTAATACTCCACTTGCTTCTAGGTTTGTATCTTACTTTATTTTTTGCTTAAACTCAATTATTCATATTCAAATATATTGTTGCAGTCGGACATTTATGAGAAAAAATAAGAAATACTTCGCATCTCCCTCTAGGGTAGCTTTCTAACAAAGATAGGTATGTAGTTATACTTACATCAAGGTACAAATAATTTCTTAATAATTGTTAACTATGTAATAACGTAAATAATTAATATTTTTTCAATATGTAACATGATTTTTCTATATTATGTTTAAAATTTTATAATATTTTGATATAAAATATATTTTTATGATACGGAATAATATTAGGACGTTAGAAATACAATATTGGAGATTTGTAAAATGTTAATAATATATTACGTTAAATATTCTATAACAATTTTGAATATGTAAGTATATTAATGTAATCTTAATATTTTTCGAAATTGGAACTAAAATATAAAAAAATTAAATAAATTTGACAGTTTTGTTAATATAATAATATTTGTAAAAATGTTCAGTTCAGTAAAAACACAAATTATTTTATATCAATATGGCTTCATTTTCTTTTTCTTGCAAGTGCATAAATATTAGTAACAAAAATTATAAATTTATTATGACAATAGATGCCTTATGCAAACTAAATAAACTTGAAACAAACATTGCTTTGAGTCCATTTACATTATTTTTTAAGCGTCAAAATATATCTTTAATTTTGTATATACTTTCATTACCAGAATAATAATCGTATCACAAGTACATGTTGCATTTAATTTAAAAGGATTTCTTACCCGTTTAAATCGAGATACTTTTTTTAATAATAGCAAAATTAAATTTTCTAAATACTATTATTGAAATATGAGCTTATAAAATAATTTTTACGTTGTCGATCCTTCAGATTGTTTTCGTACATGATTTTTCTTTTATCTCCCAACAAGATTCCCAAAACTGTTTCAATCTATTGTCTCCGTTTGAACAAAAATGCCTAAAGTCTTGTATAAGCTTTTTCTGAAATAATTCATCGCCAGCTAATGTGGATGATGATTTCCATTTTCGACTAAGCATGTGATTCCATGACCAAAGAAAACCAATCTAGATAGACAAAAATTCATTTTTTTATCTACTTATTTCTCAAACAAGTCATAAATACTTACTCTCTTATCTTTGTTGTAATCATCTTTGTTCTTCCCACTAACATGTCTCGTAATGTAAGCTTCATGAGGGCTAGGTTGATCGGAATGAATTGGATATCCTTTCTGTCCTGTGTTTCGTCTCACGATGTTAGTAGCAGTCCGAGGACGTGATCTTGTATTTGTTGTAGAAGGAATTAATATAAATGCATTGCCAGTCATATGAACATATTGGTGATCATTTTCAGTACTTTCTATTAGGCATGGAACAAAGCCAAATCTTTGTACAATTGTCTCTTGGAAAAGAAAAAGTCTTCGTACGTAAGTTTCTTCTCGAAATTCTAAAATCAAGCCGTTGATTAATTTCTTCGGTATTTCATTCTACACAGCACTTTAATTCATATTAATGTAGATAATAAACCTTCAAAAAGATGTCGTTTATTCGCCATAAGACATTCTATATTTAATGGTATAAAAATAGGCCCTCTTAAAGGATCACTTCTCAAAGTGAATGGTAATGCTAGCAAATCACTAGGAATAGGTACCATTTGAATTCCGCACATTTGAGCTTTACGTTGCCACACAAATATCTTCCCAAAATAAAATCAAGATATAATAGTTATATTTGAAGAATTTGGCTTAAATTATCAAGAAGATATACTTACAAGATCAGCAACTATACTACCAGATGATGCAACCCATTGCACTACTAATTCGTAAGAGTGATCTACTTTGTATGTAGATTGATATCTTAAATGTCCCCATTCAATTCTATCGCTCCTATTGTTTATATCTATATCTAAATGCGTATGTTTATATGGTGGAACTGAAAAATAAAATAATAAATAAAATGAATTAATAAGACTAATAAAAAACACATAAATAGTAAAAGTATCAAAAATTACCTTGCCACTCTTTATCATTCACAATGTCAGATATGTCTAAATCATCTTTAAGAAATGGTGCTACATTTGATTCGTCTACAGTATCGCAACTAGATATAGTCATCGGAGATGACATCAGAGGGAATGATCCTGGCGAAGAAGGTTCGCACCAACCTTTAGGAGCTTTTATTTCAACTTCTACCCATTCGTTTTCAAAGCTTTGCAAATCACCCAAGGGTGAAAAATAATCTCCAGCTTTTAAAGATATGAAAAATTGCATAAAAAATAAATAAGTTGATGTATAATTATTAAACAATTTCTACCTACCTCTTTGATTTTCTTTATCTTGTACTATATGATATAAATAAAATCCTAGAATAAATGGTTTAGAAAAATCTCCAGATGCATGGCATATGAGCTTGTCTTGTATCATACCCTGCATGAAAATTATGAAAAAAAAAAAATCAATAACTTTAATACATACTAATAAAATTATTCTTACATTCATGATATTGATGGCATTCTCCACTGTTACTCCTCCTTCTATGTGATTATTTAACCATTGCACTGCATCTGCACTAACAAATGTTTGGCTTGGAAGAGATGGATGTTGTGTAAGGAATCCCACACCATTTTGTGGATGTTTCATTGTCTCCAAAATCTCGTTATTTGAAGCAGTGTTTTTTAATTTCATCAATTCCAAGTTTGTACTGGTAATAAAATTAAAATATTAATATAATAGTGTTTGTATATGTCTAATGTAACTCGACATTTAGTTTACCTATCTTCATTAGAATCAAAATGATCTTGTTGCTGATCAAGCGAAAGTGGTAGCACAGCCTCACTGGCGGGTGAGATTCGACCCCTATCCATCACTTTGGAACCTGATCTAACAAAGATAAATGAAACCAATAATTACATTCTATTGTAATAATTTATATTGTAATAGCGATGCATGGTAGAAAAACACAGAGCAATTGAAAAAATTAAGCAATGTCTAAGATTGCAATGTAGAAAGCAATAAAATTTATTTAAATATGCATAATGCCATTCGTTTTCTTTTTCAAATAAAAATATAAAATAAAATATCTTCAACTAATAAGGCTACATAGAGAAGGCTAAAACTGATATTTTAACATTTAAATATAAATAAATGAAATATACATATTAAGATGTATATACACATCATCATCAATGACAAATATTTATATTAAAAGTTAAATTGAAAAAAATTTAAGAGAATAAAACACCAACCTGTTTGGCACGTGGCGAGGAGTGTCGAGGCACGTGCGGGCAGTCGCAGCGGTATTCACTACATGCCTCTCCTGTACAGAGAACCCCGTCACTCCCTCACTCACTACCAATATTTTCTACCATACAGAGTATTTGTACAATTGTAATTACATTTTTAAAAAATTTTTGTAACATTTTACAACGTTAGATATGAAATAAATAGTACAAATGCTCTGTGTCTCAATTTTACTAAATGATCAAAAGAAAGGATGAAAGCAGCTGAAAAGTATAGAATGAGCAATATATACAAAGATTGTTCTCAAACATTTACAAATACAATCCCTTTCTATTTTGAGTGCACCCTTCACAGACATAGGATACAATAAAGGAATATTCATCACCAGAGAAGCATGTAACATTTTTAAGCAAATTGCAAAATAATAATTGAATAATTTGTAGTTTCTAAACATATTTTCTTAATGCTACATAAACATACATATAAATCTTTTTTATTGTTTCATAAAACATGCAGATGTGCAATTTGTAGGTAATTATGTGTAATATCGGCAATTCAAAAATATCCTTATAAAACTGAAATTGCAGAAATTTTTCATTTTCGTGTTTTAAAATACAACGAATACAATTTCGATGTTTCACGCTTTGTCTTACTATGAGAAATACTGAACTATGTAGAATAAATTAATAATTATACAAAGAATAAATTTATAATTCCTGTAAGGACATAAAAATAATTGAATTTTTAATTTTTTTCAATTGTAAATATAATTATTCGCGTCTTGCATTAATAATTGAAAACAATATATTCGGTAATTAAACATATGCAGTATAAAAACAAACAAGCAAAGTGAAAAAACACCACACCTAATTTTCATTCCTGACACCACCTAAATTTCATTCCTGACCCTTCATTGCAAGATGAATAGGTTGCAATCTATACCATTACATTTGCAAAAGCAACAAACAATCATCAATCTAAGCTTGTTCAAACCTTGGTCTCGGTTTCTCTGGTAGACGATTGCTTCCGAGTCGCTCCCTGAAGGGAGAATTGCCGACTAGATTGGTCTGAAAAGCATGATGAAGAGTATGGGTAACTGTAAATGTATGAATTTACTCATGATCATGAAGAAGTATATCACTGGTTTGTTTAACTGTAATGCATTGTTAATATCGTATTTAAAGAGCATTGTTACATCGATGAAAAGAAAAGAAGATAAATAAAATGTCAGCGTTTTGCATTACACAAAGCTTGCTAAAAATCATGTGCGCATTCAAGGCAAATATCAAGCATAATCGCATTCATTGTGTAATACGTTGTGTAAGCTGTCTGAACATTATAACTAATTTTTCATTAGAATTGAACATGACTAAAGAATCGGAAATAACTAATATATATAAAGATTAAAGAAAAGAACATCAACATTTCATGGGTGTCCCTTATTGCCTGGCAATATATTCTGAAATTGATGGATAGACATGATAATGACTTCATTGACACCTGGATCAGCGTACAGGATATACCTGGGAGGATATACCTGGTTAGTGAGGACAATCAGGCTCGTGCTGTGCCTGCGTCTGGTCAAATGAGAGGCAGGATCTCTCTGGGAAACACCACCTAGAGTTGAAGGATTCTGAAACATATCATGCTAAATACCTCTCCTAACATTCTACTGATCTATTTCATGTATATCTCTCATGTAATTGTATAATTTCGACATTGACACCCACCCGCTAGCTGCAAGTTTAGAGATTGTTATTTAAAAATAAAATATTTCCATATTCGACTAAGTTATAGCCATTGTAAGTGATTTATTGAGTGCCAAATAAGCTTGTGAAATACGTGCTCTTTTTTTTAAACTTAATCTGCATGTTACTATTTATTACATCCTACGTATCTAATACACCATTAAGAAACACACTATAAATTACAATGGCACTGATTAAAAATCTTGCAAAACAAAAATTGCGAAATAAATAAAACTTACGATTTTACGAAAATACGATTATCAAAAAAAAATAATAAATATTCTAAACTAACAGAAGCACCGAAATAAATTGCGTTACTGAAACGTTGTACATCAGGCATGCGACATTCAATTCTATAGTGCAAAAATACAGCGCAATGTAGTATAATATAAATCGTTAAAACAAAATCACATAATATTCTATTTAAAAACAAAAGAAAAAGAGAAAATAATAGAAAAACCTTTTTCAATCAAATTTCATTCAACGTTTCCTTCTTAATAATATTAACCCATTAAAAAAGTTCATTTTATATTTCACAATTGCTATAAGTTGAATTATATTATAAAATTTTTATATAAAAATTACCCAATTTTTGTTCGGATTCGGGCGTCGTATTTTATTTGGCCACAGCTCGATGAACCGTAAAAAGCCATCCAAAAGAAAAACTTGTTCAGAAGTAGTGAGAGGTGTATATATATCACATCTTGATGATCCCTCTAAAAATTTTCGAGTCGCTGAATTGTGTAAAGGAAGTAAAAACACGCGAAATCTCCAGTATTTAAGTGCCTAGAAATTATTAACGATCTCAGAAAATGAAAATAATATATGATATAAATCTTACCTCTACTAAAGCAAAATCAGTATGGCCCCTAGTACAAATATAATGATCTAAATAATTCCAATTATAATTTTCAAGTTTCTCTGTTGTAAAAGATACCCATGATACTTCATATGTATCATGATGAGGTGCATGAAATCGATAGAGATAATGAATATTAAATGGAGGATAGGGATGCCTGCAAAAATATTGTTTCTTTATTTATTAATAATTTATATAGAAATATAAATATAATTATAAAGAAATTTCTCACCTTGGTCGATATCTTGTTACTGTTATGCAATTATCGAACAAGGATATTTTGTGAAATATTCTGCCAATACTTAGTAAATATTCCTCTTTAGGTTCAGATTCTGTTTGACGTCCCCGCATTACAGAACTTATCGCAGGGACAGCACTACTACCAGGTGTATTGCTTTGATTTTTATTATTTTGTGGTAAAATAATTAATTGGAAACCCTTAAAAAAAAA